TTAAACATACCTAGTTTAGACTATTGTTAACGTTGATTGGATGACCTATTCAGTGTATAATGAATTCGGAGAACCATGTACCTATTTATATTCGATAATTTTGATGTTTGATTATAATTCCTTGAAAAAGCTTGGACCAGATTGCCAGGGGAAACGTTGGATTTAATTTAAAAAATTCATTCGCTGAGATTTTACAAATATATTATTCCTATTTAATATTTAAACAATTATTGGTTAAATAGCCGGGCAGAAATACCTGTCCAGGTAATACTAAACATTTATATCTATGAAGAAATCTAGAATCGTCATTTACCCGACTACCTTCTTTTGGTTTTCACTGGGGTATAGTGAGTATCTAAACTAACTTAAACAGTTATTCATCATTTCAAACTTATTTCACTTGGAAGCTATCAGTAATACTATGTTTTCCTATACAGAGTTCAAAGTAGCCGCTTTACCTGGATACCAAGAAAGAGTAATCTATACTGGGTACTAATCTTGAGGTATTAATTCACATAATCTCCGCCTAACTCAAGTTGACCGCGGACATCTAAATAGAACCTCTTCATTGGTAAATTACACGTCACATTTCTCACCCGATGCCACTATTGAAATAATTCACTAGTGAGTCACACTCTAGAGGACATCCTATCAAAGTGAAATGAGAACACACTCGTAAAATAATCCACGCAAATTTTATGGCATGACAAATCGGTATGTTGCAGAAATTTCTCCAGAAATATACCGTGATGGAAATTTCGTGTTGCTGAGCACCCCTCAAATTATTGATAGAAAATAAATGATGTGTGAATAGATCTTTATGTAGGACACAGATCATCCAAGTAGATGATCTATGTCGAATGACTAGGGGCCTATTCGAGTTAAGCGGAAACGGTGTGACCAGCAGCTAACATCGAACTCACAGCTTGCGGTCAGCATCTAACGTGCATTACCTCCTCTAAGTATCAAAATATAATGGCTGTTTTGAAGACCGTACAACACTAAGGACGTTATTACGGAAATATATTAGTAAGAATAAGTACAAGCGGATGTGCGACCACTTCTGCATGGGCCTGCCCATGATGTACGAATAAATGACGCGCGTTGGTTGTCCCCGACATTGTCAGGGATCGATGATCTGTTCGATATTCAGTGATGCAACTGCCTGATGATTAGGCTAGGGCTCAGAGACATTTCTCCGGCTCCGGAAATCATGAGACCACACACAGTAGAGCGCGAAATTTTTCAACCTTCAAAAGAGAATTATCGAGTATGTGAAGCCTATGCAAAACACTCAGATAAATAAATACTCGAGCTGTTCTTTGACTTTACTAAGCTGCTTATGACCAACTCTTAATCAATCAACCTTAGTTTTTTAAAGATCTCGCCCCTCGACCATCTTTAGTATGAACCAAACTATTTTGACCTTTGGTTTTTATAAAAAATACGTCGTGCCTAACACCTTATGATAACTAATATCTCTTTCGAACTACCCGAGAGCAGATCACAAAGAACACAGTTCCCCTATTACACCTAAGTTGTAGTACCAATTTACGAAAACTCATTGCTTCTATTAATTATCATGTTCCCGTAGTCTGAAAAACACAGATTATCTCTTTTCATCGGGTGTAAGGGATTTTTATGTGAAAGGTTTACTTCGCCTCCAAACATCTTGAGTTATTGGATAATGGATAGGCGCGGTATTCTCAAACTAAGCGCCACTTGATGTGATATCGGGTTTGTTTCCTGATTTGTGTCTAAACTATGGGAGTTGAAAGTGCATAGACTGCTTAGCTATAAACGTAAATAACATCGAAACGTCAGCTCTTCTGGGATGTGCTATATAACTCGTCGTCTTACCTGTTTTTATCTAAACAACATGCATTTATGTTTATGTCCTGTTAACCCGTGAAAAACTGCTGATTGAAGATGTATTTGTTTGATAAGATGCTCTTATGGTCCAGAAATCAGATGAAGCAGAATATATAGCCCATTCAGTTCTAAATTAACTTTAGGAATATTCTCAATATTTAGTTCCATTGGTTGTAACTTAGGACAACATAAACTATTTCTTCTGGGCTATTTGGCACTTCTAAATAAAAGATCATGACCTCGTAACTATTTGAGTAACTCTTTCAACCCACTAGTCGGAATTTTTTTGATTTGTGACGCACTGTTTCAGTGAAGGTAACTATTTCGGGCTTATCTACTACTAAGTGCTATGCGTGTGCCATTCTAAACACTTGTCAAACAGGACTCAAAGAAGCCTTGGAATATAAAAACTCAAGCTTTCCAATGAAGACGAAGATTACGCAATGACATTTATTAGTATGCCTCAGTATTCAGTACTAACACTACGGAAGTCCAATCTCGTTTTGAATATATCAACAGAAGGTGCAGATCTTACGTACTCCGGTAGAAAAATCCAGCAATTCACTACTCGGTGCGAAAAACGAATCTCCAGACGTAGACGATTTGATCTCGGTTGTTGAACTTTCTTCGAATGTCCTCTCAAATTATCAGTTCTAGACGGAAAGAAAAGACATTAACACTAAGGTCATCGTTCAGCATACGATAAGCCAACAATAAATCTCCCCGTATTCCACGGCAGGATGACGGAAGTAAGTTAAGGTCTCTTGCAATGAAAAGATTTGTCAAACATGATGGGCCTTTCAGGAAACCATGTTGTTTCCTGGATAAAAGATTATGTCCTTCCACATAGTTTATGACAGCCATCCGGACAATTTTTTCCATCAGTTTGACAACTGCACTAGTTTAGCTAACGGGCCGTTAGCTACTAACTAAATCTCTACTTCCAGCCTTATGCACTGGACCAATTATCGCGTCTTTTCAATTTCTAGGCAATCTGGACTGCCTCAGGGACATATCTCACGGTATCGCTAGAGGTTCAGCAATTATATCTGATAGAGCTTTCATAATCCTGGGATGAATATAATCAGGACCACTGGACTAATCAGGTTTTGGATGCTGAGGTAGTGTTAAGACAGTATCTCAATAACTACAGTGTCCATCAACAAGTTGCCACAATGACTCATTGGTCTTTCCTCATTACTGATAGAAAATACTTTACTGAAATATTCCTATAAAGCCTCAGCTTTTTCGGTATCATTTCTTGCCAATATTAACGGACTTTCTTGCACCAAAAGCGATGGGATTCCATCACCTTTCTGAGTTCGCATTTTTATATAAGAGAATGACAATCCCTAACCAACTGTCTAGTCTAGTCTTACTTATCAATGCCTTACAAGCATTCCTCATTTTACAATAACTGGATATATACTGTTCTAAGCCAGTAGAGATGAACATATTCCAGTAGTTTTTCCTACGTCCAAGATGTTTCTGGACTTGTTTAGTTATCAATGGTGTACTAGTATTCGGTCTACGTTGTACCAGGTATGGTATGAACGAGGACGTAACTGAATTAAACTTGCCTTCAGATATAGACCATACGTCTTCAGCTGATGAGTTAGTATCTACTGGCCAATCTGTCTTAGCAGCGCACTCCGGAATGGCTGATATGTTAGCTCTCCATACATTTGGGCAAGGTTTAACCCGATCGTATATCATGTCATTAGCTCTAAATGTGAATGACAAAACAGCGTGATGGCTATTCACTAACGGTGGAAGAATGTTTAGGTTGGCAATGTCATCAGTCAAATGAGTAACTACCAAGTCCAACGGAGAAAAACCTTGGTTTACACCAAGACGTGTGGATTTGGTTACATGCTGTACTAATGCATGCTCTATTACTGTTACTAGGATCCTACTACCAAAAGAGTTTGTAGATCCTTCCATGGTCATCTCAGTCCACCTAATGTCAGGTGCATTAAAGTCTCCTAATATCAAACATATGTTATTTGCACTCCATAGCTGAATGTTCTCTAAGATAAAGTCATCACCTAAGCAGATTTGGCTGCGACAGATAACACCAAATACAAATGCACAACATCTGATAGTGAGCTCACAGCTAATGACTTCACAAGTTCCACTATCACGGGATTCGTAAACAGAGGAGCGAAAATTTATATTATTGGCTATGTATAAAAGGACGCCACCTTCTTTCCTGCTTCTATGTCTGTCACTTCTTAGGCAGTGGTATCCGGATAATTCTGGGGTAATGTCGAAGTCATAGACTAATCACGTTTCCATCACACCTACAATGAGTGGCCTTAATTTGTCCACTAATGCTCCTAGTTCATTATTTATTTATTTATTTAAACACATAAATATTTGTACAAGGAAGCACCAGATAAATATGCGCCTCACAAATCTCATTCGATTTGTGTGAGGGCTGTGATACTGCTCAGGTGCCCAGACTGAAGCAGGTGGTTTTCTTAGGGGGCCACACCCGGAGCCTTTGACCTGAATGTCTGATCCACAAGGCAGTGGAGCATCGAGAGGAGATGCAGTCCCATGGTAGCCGGTGACTTCCCTGGCAGAGGCTATATATTCGCTGGCCATATGAGAGCATTTCGAGAGGGAGAGGTGACTCTCCCCACTCTCGGCCGTACCAGTGCATTCATAGAATTTATGACTTCGAGCAACGGCATATAAAACTTTTAGGGTTTATTTTATTTATTTAAACACACATATTGGTACAAAAGGGCACCAGATACATATGCGCCACAACTCCTAGGGAGAGTGACCTATCCACATAGGCCTTGGTAGCATCCACTTTCAAGACCTGACTATTCGAAAACCCACTAGTCGGAGATTTTCCTCACCGTTTGTCGACGGGTTTCTAGTTCGGCTAGTGCCGTCTTCCTTTTTATTCCATCTTCAGGTCTATTCATCAGTGTTATCCTGGTCATACATTGGAAGAGATCACTAATGAGTTTCATCCCAAGAGTTGGTAGATGCTTGTTAAAAGTCTTAAAATCTAATCGCATCACTGTTTTTTTAACAATAAAATCTCACTGTGAATCTTCAAAAATAATCTCCAGTTGATCATTTGTTCTGATTAATACTTTTTACAGGTAATGGCTTATAAATCTAGACATCATATCGAAGTAAGCTCAGTTGCACTGGTAGACTTAAAAGCAGAAATATCAAGAAGACAGATTGAAGTTAAACAAAGAGTTGAAAAACATCCTGATGGTTGTAATGTTATAAGAAATCGTTCTGCTGAATTAAAACCTGGAAAAGTATCACTTTGGAAAACTTCAAAAGAACAAATCTTAGAAGAGCGCACAAAGTTGGAATCTGAAAACATACCCTCCGACGCTAAAGAGTATGCAGAATGGGAAAAAAGTAGGAGAGCATTAGAAGCTAAAGCAAAACTTTACGATGCTCTACGAGAAGCTGCAATGTCTGGAAAGAAACCTAATTTAACAAAGAGAGATGAAAATGATGGAGATATTCTGGTTGATTTTGAACAAAAAGCCACAGAAAATTTAGATTTAGTTCCTCCGGATTCTCCTACACGTTCTTGTTCTTCTTTTAGTAGTGATGAAGAATCTGATAATTATCCCGCTGGTTGTAGTGATGAAGAATGGGAGGATTATACAGATGAACGTGGTGTCAAACGAGTTTGCATGCGTAAAGATCTGTCAAGTCACATCAAGAAATCTAGTCCACCGAAACCAGATGGTCCACTCACATACGCACATTTGAGAGAAGGAGAAATACGTGATCATGGTGTTGGATTCTATTCTTTTTCTACAGATCTTGAACAGAGAGAGGCTGAAATGAATCGCTTACGAGAACTTCATCGGGCTACTGAAGAAGGACGTGCTCGAGCTGAAGCAATTCGAGCGAAAAGAGATGCTAAAATGGGTCAACGTCTTGCACGCTTGCGTGCCCGTAAAGGTTTACCAGATGTAGCGACAGCTGCTGCACAGTGTCTAGGAGAGGCTGCAGTTCCTGCAACACCTACCCCAATAGGTGCAGATGCCCAATCTGATATCCGTCTGAGTAACGATGATCTAGACGTTGCGTCTATGTTGCGTAGATTACGCGATGAAGCTGAACATAGAGCTGCTATCAATAACAGTAAATCGAGTGAATTAACAAATAGTGTCCCTCCTGACCCTGAGCCTGAACATAGAGCAAATTTAGCTGACGTACTGGCATCTCAAAATCCAAGCCGTCCATCCTACGGTAGTAAACAAAGAGAATGGGATAAAGGAAAGTCAATGATTTCAGCACAGCGTTACATTCAAGAAGAACGTGATAAGCGAATTGCAGATTTTGCTCCTCCATCTCGTTACTAAAATTTAATTTTGTTTGTACATATCTTTTTATCAGTGAAATATCAAACTTTACCTATCAGTTATCGTTTTTACGGAAAACCGTTTATCTGTATTTGTATGGATGATATATTAACTATGACAGACATTTTGTGATACATTATCTACCCAACATCTATATCATTGTGCTATATTGGCTAGCTTAGGCTATGGTTAGAAAATGCTGTTGGTCACCAGACCATTATAGGATGTTAGTCAATAAAATCACTAATCCATCGATATAAACTGTGTAATGAGGTCCATGTTTATTGATTGAGATTCGCGAGATAACAGTCGGTCATAGTGGTGTAGACGTATCCACTGCAATGGCAGTTATCTGCCATTGGAAGATATTTGCTCAGTGATGCGAATTGATTGGAGTAAGAAATGTAGGCCACTGGTTACCACCAAATTAGTGGTATAAAGGTTAAACAGCTTTATCACCTTAGTTGAGACGACCATTTTATTGCTTTTTTCTCGACCAAATAGACTTTAAGAGTTAACAAAAATGTTAAGACAGTCTTGATGAGCACTCATTTACTAGGTACAGGTTTGTATAATTGACTTGAAGCCACACTCTCAGCATAACAGATATTGATAATACCCGGTCTTTTAGCCACTAAGTCCTAAGATCAAAAACCGCTCTACCTACTTCTGTTTGTTCCTCTGAAAGGTATCATAAGTCTTCACATTTAGTACGGCTAATACCCAAGTACCTAGTGAGTGAACCAAGTCAAATTAATTACCTGGCTCTCCAATCCAAAATAGACAGAGTGAACTTCAAACCCACGATTTAGTATTTAGAAACTGAACGCTTTAATCCCTGAACTACTGCTCATCTTAATTATTTGTTACTTGGATTTCACTTTTGACATTACATTGTAATTATCCCTTATATAATATGAACTCTTGGAAAAAAATTTCCCATCTTGAAGTTTAGTTTAATATTATCTACATTTTCGTATTGAACATTGCATCAAAGTGGAAGTGCTTCAAGATTAAAGTACGAAATTGTTAGAAATCCATATTTTCTATGACTTTAATGAGCTCCCATTAGAAATTCCGTATGAAGATTATTTATTTATTTAAACACATAAATATTGGTACAAGGAGGCACCTAATAGATATGAGCCACATAAATCACTCGACATGTGTGAGGGATCTGATACTGCCCAGGTGCCCAGACCGGAGTAGGTGGTTTTCGTAGGGGATCACACCCCGAGCCTTTGACCTAAAGGTCTGATCCACAAGGCAGTAGAACAACGTCAGGAGATACAGCCCCATGGTAGCCGGTGACCTACAATAAGTTCAGACACCATTCGTTCCATCAAAATCTTGGAGCCCATTTGCACCATTGGTTAGGAACCAGGGTTTCCCAACTCCCCTAGATGGACTTACCGTGTCTACCAACCCGGTTAAAGCACCTGACATTCTCTTTCCATCCTCTCAATTTTGTGAACAACACCCGCTCTACGAGAAGGCAGTAAGTAGGACTTCCATGGAAAAGGCTGTATGAGTGTGGCCATGTGAAAGCAATTCGAGAGGGAGAGCAGACTCCCCACTCTCGGCCGTATCAAGGTCTATAGAGATAGATGGAGACGATCTAGAAGTTAATTTCACGTTACCATCGCAAATGGTCAAGTAATGGATTGTTAATGCTCCCAAATATGAATGGTTGTACATCATTGATTTTCATAAACTATTTTACATACATAGGAGCAAATTTATGACCAAATGTCTTGTTCTATGGATCATCTTGTTAATAATGGTGATGAAATACAACCAGAAAAATTCTCGTCGATTTCCTCAACTAATGTACTTACTCCTATTGAAGGTTCAAACGAAACTTTTCGTCAAAGGCAATCAGACGTTTTTTCTGCACTAACTAGCCTGGAGGCAGCTCATCGTGAAGTGTACAAGGCTACGAAAGAAGAACGTAAAGCTGTACGTAAAGCAGCTTGGCGTCATACAATTACTGCCCCAGAAAATTTAGCAGAGTTGAAAGAACGTGTAAGTGTTTTACATTTTCGCGTTTTAAATTCTATTGTTTTGTTATAATGCGAAATATAGCGTATTGCGATAGGACTACGCGAAATTCTACCGATTGACCAAATTCAGATATCCTAGTTCGACCCCAGTACTGTTTCCCAACTCCAATAAATCAGAACACAGCCGTTAAATGAGAATTGTTTATGGGGTCAGCAGCAGAACAACAATGGTTTACAGATAAGGCATATTTATACAGTTACGATGACTATTAACAGTAACCAATGGAAAAGAAGGACACGTAAAGGTTATAATTAGGACGACTCAAAATTGACCAATAGGGAAACGACACATGAAAGTCATAGTTAGGACACTGTAAATAATGGCCAATAGGAAATAACATGCGAATTATGTGAAGAGTCTGGAAACATACCATTTTACATTCGAGATAATTTTTGGGATATTCTTGTGAATATCCTAACACCTCCCCTTGGAAAAAATTAATAGCGACGCAATCGTGGGTTTACTTGAAAGTTTTTTGGTTTTCTGCGTTTGCGTCCCGACCTCCTTGGAGGTAACGACCGAGAACCGGAAGAATGTTCTGCCTGATTAGATGACTGAGTTGCCTCCGTTGTAGGTATTGGCGGAAGTTGGAAAGTATCCAGTAATAAATCGAGTGGGACGCGTTTCGTAACTTCAATTTTTTTCTTGGCTTCTCTTGGCCTTAGTTGATTATGGTGCCTGGTCCAGATTTCTCTGTTTACTCTGACCTCATACATGACCTTCCCCTGTCTCTTTGCGACTTCACCCTCTATCCATTTATCATACCCATGTCTATAGTCCCGCACATACACTTTTGCGCCAACTTCGTAAAGAATTCGGGTATTCTTCATGTGAGGACTCTGCTGGGCTACTCGCCTGGGTGTCATTGCATTATGAATTGTTCGTAGCTTCCGTCCCATAAGTACCTCCGAAGGGGATTTGAAGTTCGGCAATAAATCATGAGGAGTCGTCCGGTACACAATTAGAAATCGTTCTATAATATCGTGTGTTGTTCCCTCCCCTCTTGCCTTAAGCATGGCACGTTTGAATGTATCGACGAAGCGTTCAGCTTGTCCATTAGATTGCGGATGGTAGGGCGGAGAACGGACATGATTGATCGAGTTTTGCAAGCAAAATTCTCGAAACTGACTGGATGTGAACTGCGAACCATTGTCTGTTACTATTGTTTCTGGCAGACCATGCTGAGCGAAGATCTGGTTAAGGAGTTGGATGGTTCGAGTTGTAGAGGGTGGTGCAATCGGCAATATCTCCGGCCATTTGGAGAAGGAGTCGACCAGTATCAGATATATGGTACCATCTAGGGGTCCGGCAAAATCAATGTGCACTCGCGACCAGGGTTTTTCTGACTTGGGCCAGGGTACTGGTGGCAACTTAGGAGGATGTTTCGCAGCTGTCTGACAATGTGGACATGTTTTGACGAAGTCGACAATTTGCTTGTCCATGTTCGGCCAGTATGCGTAACTACGAGCGATAGATTTCATACGGTTTATCCCTGGATGACCAGCGTGAAATTGGCGTAGGACCTTGGCACGCAGGGTTGTTGGAATTACCACACGGTCACCAAACATCAGACAGTCATTGACAACACAAAGAGCGCTGCGACGATTCGCTAGGTGTAGCATCTCACCACTGAACTGCTTAACTGGCCATCGGCTCTGAACATAAGTGATTGCTTCTCGAATAATCGGGTCGTTTCTGGTAGCTTCTCGAACGTTTTCAGCCGTAACAGGCATAGCTCGCACGGCATTCGCCAATAGTGTTGCACTAGAATCATCTTCCGTTGCTATTGTGGCTATGAGTGTATCCTCATCAGTTGTAGAGTGCTTGCTGATAAGTCTGGACAATGCATCCGCTTGACCAAAATCTTCAGAACGTCGATACTGGATGTCGAAGTCGTAGCTCAGTAACGCCAACGCCCAACGTTGAAGACGATTAGCAGAATGAACAGGAATGCCTTTCTTTGATCCAAAAATTGACAACAGCGGCTTATGGTCTGTGAGCAAAGTGAAACGGCGCCCGTAAATGAATTTGTGGAATCGCCGGACAGCAAAAATCAGAGCTAAGGCTTCTTTCTCGATCTGACCATAACGTTTTTCAGCGGCTGTTAGTGTTCTCGAAGCATGCATCACTGCTTTCTCTGAACCATCGGGAAAAACATGCAGTAGTACGGCACCCAGTCCATGGGTTGAAGCGTCAGCAGCAACTACAATTGGTAGTTTCGGATTGTAGTGGGTTAACAGTAGTTTGGAGCTTAACATGGCTTTAAGTTTTGAAAAAGCTGATTCACATTGCGTGGACCAATTCCAAGTAGCATTCTTTTCTAGCAGATGATTTAATGGATATCGTACCTCATGTAGTGATGGTAGAAATGCTGAATAGTAGCTAACCATTCCCAAAAATGATCGCAGTGAAGAGACATCAGTGGGAGCAGGCATTTGCTGGATTGCGTGAGTATTTTGAGGATCAGGATGTCGTCCAGAAGCATCAAAGATAAACCCCAGGTATTTAACGGAGCGTAGAAAGAATTGGCATTTCTCTGAACGAAGGCGAAAACCATTATCTTGGAGGCGTTGTAGAACTAAATATGTTCTGGAATGCAGTTCATCAGCAGTTGAGCCGACAATGAGGACGTCGTCAAGATACGTAGCAACACCAGGAACATCTGCCAGAATAGTATCCATAATCTGCTGGAATATCGCTGGAGCAGTCTTGATACCAAAGGGTAATCGGGTATACTGGAAAAGACCTCGGTGAGTGTTGATTGTCAGCAATTCTCTCGATTCGCGAGCGACAGGAATTTGAAGGTAAGCATCCGCGAGATCTAGCTTAGCGAAGTAGGTACCACCATTTAAAATAGTAAACAAATCATCTGGGATCGGCAGCGGATAATGATGCTGTTGCAGCGCCGCGTTGAGTCCTGTAGAGAAGTCTGCACAGATGCGTATGGAACCATTAGACTTTTTGACAACCACAATTGGTGCAGCCCATGAAGAATAAGAAACAGGTACAAGGACACCTTCAGTTTCCAAACGTTGCAGTTCAGCGTCGACCAGAGGTAGGGATGCATATGGGACTGGACGTTTTGGACGGAAAACTGGCGTAGCTTCTGGCTGAAGTTTCAAAACAGCTTCAGTTGTGGAACAAAGACCAAGACCAGGCTGAAAGAGTTCAATGAATCGTTTTTGGAGGTCTGCAGCATGCTGTTGTGTAGTAGCAAGAGTTTTTACTTGATTACAGATAGTGCTGATAGGTAGATTGGCAAGACCAAGTTCTTCGAACCAATCTAAACCCAGAAGATTGAGAGGGGATTTGGTGATGTAGCACGTACCATTGAAGGTTGTACCTCTGAACGAAATACAGCAGTTAAGTTCACCATGAAGTCGGAGATGACCACCACATGCACTAACGGCTGTCTGCGAAGACGGTTTGATGGGAGGTTGACCCAAGGTTCGCCAAGTATCTTTCGACAGGATAGTGATATCTGATGCAGTGTCCAACTGCAATCGAACTGGTTGACCATTGATTGAGAGGGTTAGAAATTTGCGCCGCGTGGCGGCATGAGTGTGAAAGACTGCTGCTAAACTCCTTGATGAGGGAAGCTGCTTTTTAGTATAACGACGTTGCGTCTGTGCATTTCGACGCCTATTGGGTCGATGAGATTGACAAAAACCGCTTTTGTGACCAACTTTATGACAGCGATCGCACACCTGCTGTTTGAATGGACAAACTTTCACATAATGCCAGGCTCCACAGTGCCAACATGGAGAAGGGGGCTTCTTGTGAACCGGTACTCTGTGGGCGATTGGTGCGACCATTTCATGGGCTTTTAACATAGCATTGTATTGATGAGAGCTGAAAGCGGCATTGTTAGGACCTGCTAATTCAGGGATAGTGGGGTTTGAATCCACTACCGGGTATGTTTCTGAAACGGATAGTGCTGGACAACCGGGCGTCTCTTGAGAGTCTGCTGTTTCGTTTGAGTTGCGGCTGGTCAAGGATTCATGGAGGCTGTGATCATTTGCCAGCTCTGTGTGCAATTCAGAGATTAATACATCCACTTCCGACGCATATGCGAAGCATTGATGATCCAGAAACTGTGAGCGTAGTTTGACCATGAACTCCAAATGTCGGTCAAATAGCAACTGTAAGCGGTCAGAAGGGAGCGTCATTTTTCACTTTTGTCCCCGTCGCCAATTGTTATAATGCGAAATATAGCGTATTGCGATAGGACTACGCGAAATTCTACCGATTGACCAAATTCAGATATCCTAGTTCGACCCCAGTACTGTTTCCCAACTCCAATAAATCAGAACACAGCCGTTAAATGAGAATTGTTTATGGGGTCAGCAGCAGAACAACAATGGTTTACAGATAAGGCATATTTATACAGTTACGATGACTATTAACAGTAACCAATGGAAAAGAAGGACACGTAAAGGTTATAATTAGGACGACTCAAAATTGACCAATAGGGAAACGACACATGAAAGTCATAGTTAGGACACTGTAAATAATGGCCAATAGGAAATAACATGCGAATTATGTGAAGAGTCTGGAAACATACCATTTTACATTCGAGATAATTTTTGGGATATTCTTGTGAATATCCTAACATGTTTGGTGTCTAAAATTCTTTGCTCGAACCCATCACTTACCTCAACACACAATATTTACTGACTCAGGAGTGGAATAGAAGAAAGCTATTTTCTTCAGCGTTTTTTAACAAGGTTGTTTTCTACGGGATGGGGATGCTGACCCCACTCCCAACCGTCCTTCACCTGGGCTTGGGACGGGCATTAGTTCATAAGGCAATTGATTTTTAGACTGAGCGGCGTAAATTGGTGCAGATTACCTGGTTATAATCAGCTTGATTATCATAACTAATGGTAATTGTCTTTGGGTGGTACGGCTCAGAGTTGATAGCAATACCTCGAATACATCCACTTTTACTGTTATATCTTGTGACCGATTGGATGCCCAGTGAATGTGTGACTTGATAGGACCGTCAATCTAAGAGCAGCGAATTATCGATTGGAACAGTGACACAAAAAAATCGTACGAGCAGTCTAGAGCGCTTATCGATCCTGCTTCTGCTTAGTCCAGCCAGTTAAGCGACTGTGTAAACATGTACTACTCTTCATACATTTTTAAACCATAAATCTAATGGTATACATGTCAGTAGTGCATAGTTTATTCAAATTATACTATTATTTTTAATATTTATCAGATTAACATGGTAGTTTAGATTCGCCATAAAAATCTAATTTTTACGTCCGACTTTTTGTGTTAATCCCAATCAATTAAGTAGTATGAACTAAACTAAGAAATTCCGCTACATGTATGTTGTCTGAAAATTTTCTGAAACTCCCAAAGTACGCTAACAATATTATTATTTTTGCTCATTGGCTGTTACAAACTAACGACACCTATGGATTCGGTGGTACATTTGTCCGTCTTTTGAAGGGTAAATATACTGCGCGTCACTCCAATGTCTAGTGTCATATGACCTTCGAAAGTAGAGGCCATTCATATTCTACTACGTTAGTTTGTTAGGTAGAACGTGTCAACTGAGGTTGCCTGGACATATGTTGTGCATGCTCTACTTCTGGCTAACTTGATGTGTGATGATGGATTAAAGTAGGAATAGGTCTGAGAAAAACTTGCCAAGCCAGGGAAACATTAGTTTGTTTAGTTAGTGATTTGTTGGTCCAAATATTTTTCTAAGTGGGAACTACGCTATTAGGGTCAGTGAAATAATTGTAACCGATTTCTTGGAACTGGCTGAGTGCCATAGCGAGAAACCCCTTGCATAGTAGACGGATTGATTTCTTCTAAATCTTGAGTTTAGTGTCTTTCCATACTTCTTTCTATTAAGTCACTCATTGCTACTGAGATTATTCCAATTCTTATCCTGTGTGTGTTGTTAATTTTATGTTGTGCTGATAGGAACGTGGATTAATTAAAAATTGTTACCAACATCTGTGTCGTTGGTGACTAACCCCACAATGTACGATGAACCAACCATGTAGAGTTTTTAATTTCACAAATGTTTGTCTGTGTAGTTGTGTTTTGCGATAATTTCTGTTCCTAAACTGAACAGAAACCAGAACTTTAGCTAACGGATTAAAACATTAGCAAGTTCTCAATAATGTTCGTTCGGCTAAGGTACGTCACACTTTGGATTGTAAAATCACTGTGATTGTCACCCTCTGTTTTCAAAATAAACAAGAGTCACACCCTAACACTAATTGTGATTACGTACTCACCACTAGTGATCGATTTTAGCAGGCGTTTCCCGTGTAGTGAACAAGAACACGAGTGGGGACAATCGAATGTATTTAAGCACAAATTACAGACTATCTCACTAAATTCTGATAGCCATACAGCAAACAGTTAATTTGCAGAATAACAACCAATTGTCTCAATCTTCACTGTTCCTTCTGTCAATATCAGTTCATCTTCTCTTATTCCATTGTTCATGTATTTTCCTACCAATTGCGCTTTATCTTAGTCCTTTCCTTATCGGTCTTCTGCAAATATACATTCTATGCCTGACCATCACCATATACTACTTATGTGGACATAAGTAGCCCACACCACACCCGGAGTGTTAGTGAGAAACAATCACCTATAGAGTTCAACTATATATCAAGTTTGAGACGGTTACGCTGTATGGCAGATAACTTAGATTTAGATATGTAAAGCATTTGATCCCAACCTATTTTGTGAAGGTTATTCTGAATTCGATCCCTTATGAAATTGTGGATACGCAATGCTGAGGAATCCTATAAGGGGATTAAACATCCATTTAGTAGATTTTGGTTTTCATTGGTTGTTTGACTAAAATTAGTGTGATATGAATAAGGAAATTACTTGATGTTCACATTTGATTTTACTACTTAGTTACAATCGTTGTAGACAAGTGTGAAGTGTGTAAAATGAATAATTATTTCAGCTGTGTAACCCTCTATCCGATGTGTCGATAAAAAACTAGGTCTTTCAGTGCTTTTGTTGAATAATTAATCGGTCAACTGTTCGGTTGTTGTATCGTAACGAACTAGATTTTAATGTTTAATCCACAGATAATTTCTCGATATTTGTAAATGTTTTCTCTCCTTTTTAAGCTTTATTTTATTTTTAGCGCGATCATGTTCAAACAGCTAGCGGTAAAGAGCACAAAACAACATGTCAAACACAAAATTCAGCTTTCCGAAAACCTAACGCTCTCCCACCATCAACACATCGTCGACCAAACTATGTACATCGAGATCCTAGTAAATGGACACATTATAGTTTAGCTGATGTTAATGAAGATCCTGATATTAGTGATAACTCACTCGCTATGGCTTTGATAAATGAGCTTCGACAATCTCGAAATAACACTGAAACTGTACAAGATGACGAAACTTGCCCAACAAATCCACGTCATAACAATCGGATATTGTTTCGTCCAACACGAGGTAAAAAACGAGCTCGTCTCACTGAAGAAAATCTACCAAAACCTGAAGTGCGTCTAGAGAGTTGTTTCGACACGCCGGATACAGATGAATCACAAAGTTCCACCGACGATTCAATATCTTTGTCTCATAATAGTGAAAGTTCGTGTGCTTCTGTGGCAGTCTTTGTGAATCGACGTCACAAAGGCCAGATACGTAATCGACATTTAGATAACCCAGTAGATACTGAGCACCAGCCATTTGATGATCAACCGGCGAATGCTGTTGCAGTTAACTCAGATTATGATGATAAAGGTGATCAAGATCTCGATGTGGATTCTGATGAGTTAGAAGAAGATCCGGAAGAAGATAAGACAAATGACTACTTGGCTTAATTTGTGACATGTAGTAAATTTGTCTTCAGTATCATTTTGTTTGCATAAAAACAATAATGTAATCAAACAAATTAAATATATCTTGTACAGACTTTTTGTTCATCGTCGACTTCACAATGTTGGTCTTTTATTCACCATAGTAAAGTCAACCAAACAGTTGTTTTGATCTTTCAAATAATGCTTAACGGTAATACGACCACACAACTTTGTAGGATTTAAGTGTAACTTATTTAGACAATGTAAGCTGTAATTGGTCAGTAAGTGAAAAGAGACATAACCGAACGCATCACATATGATAGACTAATCTAATAACAGTTTATTAGTCATTGAGTAATGACCAATGATATGTTTGTCTAATCCAATAGTGTTAATTAAATCCCATCGACTAAGTTGCTGTGTTGATGCACTAGTCTAAGTGACGCAACATTGCGTGAACCATACTGAGATGTTTGGGCGCGGCAAAAATAACTCACTGGTAACATCTTCGATTGTAGAGCTGCGTGACCCGTGTTCAGATCTCACTGGGAGAATGTGTTCGCGCAAGATAAAAGATACGCTTTACCGACGTAGACTAAGCAGTTTCCTGCCGACTACATCCAACCAATTAACTAATTCATTATAAACAAACTTCCTCTTACTCTGATTTTCTCATATCAGTACACTTTTGTGTTACTGATATCTAGTTTTTTTTATTAAACAGTCGAACGAGTGTTTCTATTCTCATGTTATGTACCAATATTCCCACGATGCAGAATACTTTGACTAGGATTCTCTTATCAGCAATAATGAATGAACTTTTGCGGCAGTAGGAAAAATCTATTGAGTAAATATATCGACAATAATTTCATCAATAAGTAGTTTGTAGGCACTAATTAAAGGTATAATATGTGGTGAACATTGTTATATTTGGCGTCACTTAGAAATTTGATGGGTACTCAATGATAATATACAAAACCATATGGACTTACTGATGGTTTTGGATATCATTTCAATTTCAAACTAAAAAAAACATATCATCCAAAAACCATAATCAGAAGTTAGGATTTTTTTATCAATCAAGAAGACTGTCTAAAAAACACATCATTGCATCAGTCTAAACTACATTATCCATATGATCATAAACCGGTCTGTATTACGTCATTGGTTAATATGCTAACCGTATAAACGATGATGAAAACGCAAACAAACTCCATTCGGGAATATGTTAACTATTACATGCACAATATGTTTAATTGAAGGCAAAAAGAGTACCACCAGACGATATGGTCAGTAACCGAACTAATTAAAGAATAAAAATTAATTTTGCATATAATGATTGGTTGGAACAAAACAATGGTGCATTAAACTAATTTACGGAAATGTAGAATGGTATAATGATGAGTGAAAAGTTAGATATGAGAAAACTGGGGAATAAATTGGTGATAAGCAAGTTAGTGAAAAAGAGTATCCACATCACTACTACCTAATCAGTGTTTCATTACAGAGCTACCGCTCTACTCCATACATACAATCAGAACGCCATGATCCAACTTTATATACTATTATAAGTAAATAGCAAATAATAACTAATTTTGAGGATTTAAACACTCTCAACGACTGGACCTGACTACATTGTTATATTTAGTGAACATGCTGATACATTTTAAGGACCTCCAAACTCACTAAATGAAAAGCTTTGTATGTTTTACATCTTTCTTCACATATATACTTCCTAAAAGTTACAGATCAATATTACTAGTTACGATCAGGAAACCAGTCGGTTATTCATAATGGACATAAAGCCTGGCACAAATATGTGTAAGCCCAATTTCCCCACCATAACCATATTAACATGACGAATAGGAAAGGAGTAGAAATAATGATAGCGAGGAAGGTTAAATATTGAAAATATAATTTGAGAAGACAATGAAAATGATATGTATGAATAAATACTGGAAATCAAGATTTAGAAGGTGAATGTAAATGTATCAGCACTGTTGGAATTGATTCTGAGCCATGTCTTCATTCAAAGTCTTCAACCAAGTAGTCTGTACTTGCGCTCAGTCAGTGACTTCGTAGGTTGATCTCATGTCTTGATTTACCCGCTCCTAGCTTTCTTCCAACCTACAACACCAGTCCACATCCTGCGCCGTGGTAGGTGTTCGTTAGGCCTTAATCATCCAGTACTCATAAATTGCTTTTGACAGCGAACCTATATCCGTTGAAATTCAAAACCTTTAAGTACGATGATAATAAGCAAACAGGAACAAAGAATTGAGCTCATTTCTTTGTTTTTGCATTATTCAAGATAATAAAGGGAAATAAATGTATGGAATACAATACTATCAACTTTTACACACACTCATACATTTTAAGAATGTAGCTGTAAAAGAGCAACAAACCCCAACCCAACATAGGAGGAGATACAGGCAGAAGAAAATTTTGTTTGTTCAAACACATAAATATTGGTACAAGGAAGCACCAGATACATATGCGCCTCACAAATCTCATCCGATTTGCGTGAGGGCTATGATGCTGCCCGGGTGCCGAAACCGAAGCAGGTGGTTTTCTTAGGGGGCCACACCCGGGGCCTTTGACCTAAAGGTCTAACTCACAAGACAGTGGAGCATCTTGAGGGGATGCAGTCCCATGGTAGTCGGTGACCAACGATTGATTCATACGCCATTTGTTCCCTCAGGATACTGGAGCCCATGTGCACCATTGGTTTGGAATCATGGTTTTCCAACTCCCCTAGGTGAACTTTCCATGTCCATCAACCCGGTTAAAGCGCCGGACATTCGCTTTTCGTCCTCCCACTTTCGTGAACAACACCCCCGCCACGAGAAGGCAGTGAGTAGGACTTCCCTGGCAGAGGCTATATTACGCGTGGCCATGTGAGAGCATTTCGAGAGGGAGAGCGAACTCTCCCCACTCTCGGCTGTACCAGAGCGCAGAAGAAAATACATTGCAATTATTTATAAATGGTTTACACTGATTGCTTACAATAAAGTGATCATGTATATTTAAAACAAAAAAAACATGATCAGCCACTTAAAAATATGTGCAATAATAGTACATATTACCATTCACACACACACACACGCACAGAATAATGGACGAAGATAGAACGTTGAAACATTATTAAAGCAAGTTCTCCATATTGTAAATAATATATTTGTATAGATATTGTGTATAAATTAACAAACAGATAATAAAAAAGAAACACTTTTTATTATTTAGTAACTTGGTGTATAGCATGAGCTAAGTAGTCGACATTTTTAGATGATAAGCCAGCAATACTAATACGTCCATCTTTAGTTAAATAAATAGAATATTCACTAGTTAGCTTTTCAACCTGAAATTTAGAAAGATATATATGATTATGTACGAGTCATTATAATATGGGAAATCAAAATACTGGCCTATTTAGTCCGACTTGGTTATGAAGCTATTATAAGTTATTCACTGTTTATAATTTTCTGGGCTAGTAAGCCTCTCACAAAGTCAGTCCTCCACACGTAACTTTGTACTATTATTGTTTTAACATCACTAGAAATTCTCTATATCACTTTATACATTGTATAAATCTTCTACCAAGCAAATAAGGCAATGAGAAAGTATAAATGGAGGAATATAGTGACTCAAAATATAGAATGAATGCTTATGGGTTATGGTAACCGATTCCATGCAATCTTCACGACCACTGGTCACTGTCATCAACCAGGAAAGGTAGTCTGTAACTACCTATATGGTTTAATTCAACTGCCAGTGACCTCATGAACTAATGCCCCATTTTGCTTTGACTACACCTAAGCTTACCATCACCCGTTGAGGTAATCAGTGCTTGAGTATACGTAATACATATCCTAATCACTTCAGCTGATAAATATTTAAAACATTGTTAACCGATTTGCCAATCTTGCTTCATACTCTTTGCCTAACCTCAAAACTACTCACCAGGTGGCTCCAACATGCGCAAGTCAAAAAGTGAAACAGATGGGACTGCTGAGCGCTAATATTTACGGACGGAAACCCCGCCTATGCCATTAAATGACTCAAGCTGAGTTTTTAAATCTATGCCGAGATTTCATTGGGAAGCAACTCACCATAGCTGATAAACCTACCCAAATTTATTTATTTAAACACGTAAATATTGGTACAAGGGGGCACCACATATATGCGCCACACAAAAAATTTAATTGTGTGAGAGCTATGATACTGCGCGGTTGCCCAGACCGAAGCAGGTGGTTTTCTTAGGGGGCCACACCCCGAGCCTTTGACCTAAAGGTCTTATCCACAAGGCAGTGGAGCATCGTAAGGAGATGCAATCCCATGGTAGCCGTTGACCAATGACAGGTTCATCCGCCATTCGTTCCATCAGGATACTGGAGCCCATGTGCACCATTGGTTTGGAATCAGGGTTTTCCAACTCCCCTAGGTGAACTCGCCTTGTCCACCAACCCGGTTAAAGCGCCGGACATTCGCATTTCGTCCTCTCAATTTCGTAAACACCACCTTATGCGTGAGAAGGCAGTGAGTAGGATTTCTGTGGGGGTGGCTGTATACGCTTGGCCATGCGAGAGCATTTCGAGAGGGAGGGTTGACTCTCCCCACCCTCGGTCGTACCAAGGCATTTGAGGGTACTAATACAAGTACGTAATTTAGGTTTAGCAACCTCCACAACCCATAAAGATAAATAAATCGGTCGATGCACTCAACTGCTTCCTCACCCTATGATGGACCTAGATGACTCAGACCATCCTGAAGCAACATTTTGCATTTGGTGAGGAAACGACCTTTCAAATATACTTGTGTCGTTACTCAAGACGATCAAAATATTCGGTATTTTTTCAATATTATCAAACAGCAGCATGTTATCTGTCTATTCTAACTGGATAATTCGAATGTCCACTATCAATTGTAATGTTATAATAATAATAATCAGTCAGCTACAACGTAAGATCAGGAACATTTATGCATCGGTCCAAGTTGCCATACCTCGTGAGCACAAGATCAACATC